AATTCAATTAAAATATATTTTGCTCTGCAATTTAATGTTATATTTTTAAAACAACAAGTGTCATAGTCATAATGTTTAAGTATCATTATTATAAAAAAGTTATACTGCTATAAATTTAACATTGAAATAACTGTAATTATTGTTATACATAAATTAAGTAGGCATAATTTTACCTCGACAATATGTAAAACTTCAAACGAATCTTAACAATTTTATGCCATGTATAAAAATCAAATTTAAATCACACACTTTTATTTATAACTGACAGTATAAGACCAAATTTTTAAATATAACTTTACATGCTTACATTATATTCTTTACTTTTTATTAGTAATTACAATATGAACAAAAAATATTAATTACTATCAATAAATACATAAAAACTAATCTATTTAAGTCCATGAAAATAACTATATAGTTAGCATATGCATAAACAACATTCTTGTTATTAGGATCAAATTTATTTGAGCTTTTTTTCATTGTTTTGGTTAATATCCCTGTTAGTCCTGACTGGTAAAACCACCTGAAGCGATGTCATACAAATCTGTATATGTATCATAACATAACTTATTCTATTAAGTAATTATCCTGCCTTTGGTCTGATGATAATATATTGTAGATTTATCTAAACTTCTTACTGCAAAATGTTGAAAACTAAACTACACTAAACATTTTAGGGAATGATTACGTAAAGATTTCACTTACACTACACTTAGCATCCTTTTTAAAAGATATGTATGGTAGTTTGCAAGTAAGGTCTTTGTCTTGTTCTATATTAGATTTCTAGAGGTGGATCTGGGCCTGACCCACTGCGACCTTCCCAGATCTATTGTGATCTTGTCTTGTTCTACAATGAAGTTTTATGTACCAATAGGTTATACTACAAATAAGATTGTTAAAAATATTCACTGGAGCATAAATAAATTCAATCCACTACCTAACGTGTATTGAATATCGACGATGTTAGAAAACACATCAAATGGCGGCCTTTTCTTGTAATACACATTTCTTCACTAAAGATATCGACGCCTATACATTATTAACTAATAAATTTGTAGCATTTTAGTGGCTTTATAATTATTTTAAAATATGTGGATAAATATTTTTATTCTGAAATTGACAGCTTCTCAACATTTGACATGACAACCATAAAATAATAAATACAAGAAGAAGTGTCAAGTCAATGTTAAATTATGGAAACAGCGTGGCTGCCTGGGTAACTAATTTTCAGATATGGCGGCTGGGACATTTGACATGACATAGACATGACAATTTCAATTTTATGAAATTTATTTCCGTTTCCGGTTTTTAATGGCGGGCTGTTCAGGAGGTTTAAATGAGGGTTAATATACTTTTTACTCTTTCTAGTAGTAAATAATACAACAAAATTACTCAAAAATATTTATTTGGAATTTAGAACAATGTAAATATGCAAATCAACACAATTAAAGAGCTATAAACCAATAAACTACTGATCAATATCAAATATTTAAATAATATCAGAGATGCTGTGTTAAACTGAATTAGTAAAGTAACAGTGCATTGACTTACAGAAACTTGAAGATAAATAAATGTTTTCACAGCTTCACGGGCATAAAACTAAATAACTGGAAGCAGGAAAAAGGCATCCGGAACCCACACAAAACCTGGAATCAAAAAAATATGTAAAAAATATAAATATAGGTACATAAGACTTTTGTGAATTAAATCAAACAGGACTTGAATGAAAATAAAATGAATAAAAAATATAATACATATACATCTAATACCTCATTTGTATTTTAAAAATAATCTACATACATAGATTTATAGCATTATTGCTATGAAAATACATAATAGGTACCTATGTGATATGTAATCACGCATTTCTGTTCATCTTGTAGAAAATTAATATAGGCTAATAATAGTTCAATAATCATAATTTACCTTGTATAACTTGCTTTCAATTGCTTTCAAATCACCGATCAGTCTTTAAAGGAGAGATACGGAAAAATCCTTGGCAAAGAATATCCCAAAATCCTTGGGTTTAAAGCTAAAAAAATATAAAAACAGTTAACATATTATCTATTTTTACATATAATATGGCCCATACCTATTACACGCAGAAACGTCGATTTCATCATTTTCTTCATGTAATTAATATCATATATACTTTATTAGAGTGTTAACAAGGAACTTATATCAAAAAACATCTTTGTACTTATAAATTTCAGCCGAAATATCATAAACAAACTTCCTTTCAAATCTAAAACGGCAAAAATTAAAATGGCGCCCGACCTTGCCAGAGGCCTCGGGAGTTGACACATGGCTGACACACAGACAAAAGAAGAGGACGCCAACGTGCATAAAAATGTTCCGTAGCAGAAATTGACAGAAATCATATAGAAATATTCAGATTTTTGTCTAGGACAGTCTAGAAGGCCATGCTTTCTGCCTGGGTAGAACCGCGCCACAACTGTTTCCAATTTTCCGGTTTACTGTCACCCCCCTGATGACAACTTCAGACAAATGTGACATTTAAACAGTCCTACCACTACAGTTTTCCCAGAAATACCCAGAGATATGGAAGTGGGAGAATGAGCTTCGACGAGTGCGCATCCAAATTTTTGTCGACGGCAAGATGGCAGACATCTTCCAGGTCTCGCTGTCACTTCCCCTCTTTAATTGACATCTGTTTGTTTTGTTTTTTTTTCGTTTGTGTTATCTAGTTAAAATTTATTATTATCTCAATTATTCTACACACTAATTCAAAAAGGCTTGTTGTATATTGTCATAGTCATTCTAAGAAAGCTAATACGCCGGGAAAAATGATTAGTTTTCATGTGTAAGTTTATACAACATAATCGTGTTTACAGATGATCCAAAACTGTTTATTTTTAGTTTTCCTAAAGGCCATTTGTAAAAATCGTGATTGTAATTGGGAATGGTCAAAAACCAAGTGTGATGTGGCCATTTGAAGAGGATGTTTTTATTACATGTGGAGGAAGAAGATACTTGGAATCAATGTTCGTGCTTCTGTAAAACAGTGCACTGTTATAGTGTCCATGAAAGCACAAGTTCAAGTGTACCAGAAGTGTATCACTTAGGCAAACAGATTGGTCCTTACTTGACAAGAAGATTATTTGGAGGAAAAGAAAACATAAGATAGGGTATTTTAATCGAACAGCAAAAATTTAACATTTTTTACTGTAAAGTTTGTTGTAGGCAGTTGTAGTTTTGTGCTAAATATTTCTAACATTAGCAGCAGCAGTGTTCAGAGTGTCAAGAGCAGAAGAATTCAGTTAATTAGATGTATGCTCAGTTACAGGTATGAAGGCTTTTTCAAACATAGTATCGAGTTCTATAGTCAACATTTTTAGTATTCCTACAACTGTAAAAACAAGGAACATTGGACTGAAAAAATGGCAAGATTTATATAGGAAGAAAGGGTATTATGCCAATAAGAAAATTAAATCTGTGGGCAGAAGTTTCTTATTTAAAAACTGTTATGGGGCATATATTAATTTGTATCTGTACCACAAATCACTGAGAAAAATCATATAATATTCATAATTGTTAACGAGATATTTAAAGAGTGTTAAAAATGAGACTATTAGTCATGAAGCTTACAATGTTACTTTGTTTCAATATTACACTTTTATTCTTGTAAAATCTATGATGAAGTTCAAAAGCATTTTGCAATGGCCTTAAATTGTGAGCCAGGATTTATAGCAAAGGTATTTGATGCAATGAAACTTAATCGGTACCTTCCAGTATGTATTTTAGTAAGGAGATTGTCAATCCCATGTTTTTAAATAGATAAAATACAGGCCAAAGTTGACAATATTACAGTTGAGAAGAAACTATTTTATCTTAAAAAAAAATTTCTTAAAATTCTGAGATCATATAATCTAATTTTCTTAATAATAAATTAGGTATATGTACATACAGAATTTTGTTATGGACAAATAAGGATCGACAAGCTTCTTTTGTGCAAAAAATAAATGATTTTTTCTAGTATTACGACAAACCATAATGTGTTTTACAAACTTACCGGTAACAGTTTTTGTTTATAATAAAATATTTAGGAATAATTTGGGTTGTTTATCAATATATTAATGACTTGAATTTTGACAAATCGAATTTGTATCAAAATAATTTTACGAAATATAAAATTGATGTTCTATTACAAGATTGAGTTTTTATTGTCGACAAAAACCAGGATAAATACTAATAATAATACCCTTAATAAAATCAATGATGTTTATGTATTATGAAAATATTTGTTAGAGGACATGTTATGTAACAGTTTTTGAAACATAATTTGAAGGGACGAATAAAAAAAATAAAACAAAAACATATTTTTTCTAGGTTTATATTAAAAATACAAGGTAGGTAATCATCAAAAATAATTATGAACCAAATGTTTTTTATGAATATACAACTTGAACAAAAAGTTGTTTAGAACAATTTTTACCAAATTTGCAAAAATTTTAAATTGAAACGCGTAATTCAGTACAAGTAAACATGAAATATTGTAAATACTTATTTAATATCATTTCGAGTGTTTTACGACGAAAAGGTCATCTGTCCGTAGCGTCTTTTGTCAGAATATTCGTATATTTAGTGTATTATATACCAATATTGTACGCAGTTTTGAAACTGATAATTAAATAAATCATATTAATGTTAACTAACGATAATAAATGATAGAATTTCACTAAATTTAAATTGCCCCCCGTATGGTTGAAAACAGCAAATTGATATTTGATTACTTATAGATTACCACCTATATACAAAATGACACGAAGACCTGGAATATGGCGCCCAACTTGATTAGACCTTTTGCGCATGTTGACGCTCATTCTCTATCCCTTCTATTTCTCTGGAAATACCCCAAAAATCCGCCATTTTGGCGCCAATAACATTGAACAAACCAATTGCGGTACTTTATATATCTAGGGACTTTAACTACTCCCTGTCTGACATGCTGACATCCAATGCTGACATTTGCTGACATCTATAACACTGTTGTGACGTGGTTGTGACATGTGACGTTTCAATGTCAATGGTTTTTATCAAATCAAATCTATGGTTTGTATAATCTGATATATGGTTCTTTCACAAAATGTAGAAAAAAATACTTTGTTAGAAATCATGGGTGACGATAAAGCTTTCGTCTCATTTACCTGCCAAAGATGTTCGCAGAGCTTAAGGCTTGACGAATCCCTAAACTCATTCAGCGAACACATTTCAGCGGAGTTAAATTGTGAGTTTTAAATTTCAAGGTTCTTTGTTTACTAGCCATGTCTACAACTATTTTACCTATGTTTTTAGTGCCCATATATTCTAACACAGATGTCGATTTGGAATCAGAAACCACTAGTTTTGACCAGTATGTGCCTCCATGTAGGCTTTCTGATTCTGGCAATGGGGCCAATGGGTTTATGCTTATTTCAGATGAAAATGAAGTAGATCTGTTGAGTAGCCAGTACAAGGTAAAATATGTTTATTTAAATTTGTGTTATACCTGTAGGACATTTTTTTGTAGAGGAATGCATCATTATTTGATCATCTTTCTGGCAGCTGTGATATAGATCATCCTCTTTGCGATGAATGCACAGATTATCTTATTGAACTCTTAGAACAGCAATTAGAGATCACACAAAATGATTATGATGATTATTGTAAATATTATAAAGTGTAAGTTTAATGGGAATTGTTTAACCTTTATGTCGAGACTGATTTTTGTAGTCTTCAAATGGAAAGAGATGAACCAAAATTATCTGAACTAGAAAAAATGTTACAGGACGTCACTGATGAAGAAAACAAATTATTAGATGAATTACAAGGTTTACAAAATGATGAAGAGGAAACTTTGAAGGTTTTTAATTACATTTTATAGAATTTATAAATGTTTGTATTTTTTTAATTAGGCTATTGAAGAACAAGAAGATATTTCAAGAAAAATATCTCAAGAGGAAGATAGGTATTGGAAAGAGTATGTCAGACATAAAAGGGAGTGGCTTATGGCTGAAGATGATGGTAGAAGGTATATTGAAAATGAATTATTATGATTAAAAATTTCTATAATATCATTTGATTTTAGTCTGGAGTGTCAATTAAACTCTGCAAACACACAATTGGACAAATTAAAAAGAACGAATGTGTTTAATGCAACTTTTCACATTTGGCACAAAGGACATTTTGGCACCATCAATAATTTTTGTCTTGGCACATTACCATCTGCCCCAGTAGGCTGGGCTGAAATAAACACTGCTTTCGGACAAACCACTCTTTTATTCTGTGCACTGGCCAGAAAAATCAATCTAACTTTCATAAAATTTCGACCTGTCCCATATGGCAGTCACTCATATGTTGAGGTTATAGGAGAAAATAAGAGAATTCCTCTCTATGGTTCAGGAGGGCCCAAATATCTTTGGGACACTAAATTTGATGCAGGCATGATGGCCTTCTTGGATTGTGTACAACAGTTTACTGAAAAAATTGAAGAATTGGAAAGAAATAATAAAGTTTTCAGATTTCCTTATCGTATAAGTAATGGAAAGATTGAAGACTCAGATAATGTAAAGTACTCACTTAGGTATGTTGCTCTGTTATTTTTCCAATCTCGGTCATGTCATTGTTTTTTTTTTCAGAGCTACTATTATATCTGAAGAGCAGTGGACCAAGGCCTTGAAATACATGTTGACAAATTTAAAATGGGGCCTGGCTTGGGTCGCCTCACAGTTCGATAGTAACGGAGAAGAAATACCTCAAAACGTAGCGTAATTATTTAAAAACTAGAAATTCTGTTGTTAGGTTTTCGTAAAGCGTAATTTGTGTGCTGTTACCTTTAGTAAATTAATGTTATAGAGTTCTTTTAGTTATAAAATTGTAATTAATAATTTATGAGCGATATTTTTTTATTAATGAAACAACTAAATCAGACTGATTAATTGTACCTCTTATAGAATAATTCAAATAAAAATCGTATATTAAACTGTTAATTTTTTGAACCCAAAACCCAACCAATCAGCATGACGCAGGTAAATAGTGGGTTGAAGTTGGAGAGCATTAGGAGAGTTGCACGGTACGGCTAGACCAGAGATATAGCCTCTATATCTCTGGGCTAGACGCAAGTCATGATTGGCAACAATGACTAAAGCCGGAGTCTCATGCATCCGAAATCCGATGACACGACGATCCGACGGTGCTCCTATTGGTCGAAATATTTTGACAACAATTTTTATCCGATAATTTTAACTAATCATCCGACGTCGTATAAAAGTTTAAATTTTGGTTTAAAACTTTTTTACGATATCGTGTTGTTTTTAAACCTCACTTTTTTTGAAAAACATTTGATTTTTAAAAACAAGTTTAGTGGGAAGTGGGCATTTTCGGGATATTTGGCGAGGAAGTTATTTTTATTAAGTGTTTCTCCAATAAAACATTACATGAATCTCTATTCAGCGCAGCAGAAAAATGTTAAAACTGTCAAATTTCGGAACGAACTTTCGTATGTATGTGACAGGCTTTTATTATTTCACACGATAACTTTAAATTTCGGATGTCGTACCATTCGATTTCGGATGCATGAGACTCCGGCTTAAAGCCGGATTCTCATGCATCCGAAATCCAATGACACGACGATCCGACGGTGCTCCTGTTGGTCGAAATATTTTGACACAATTTTTATCCGATATTTTTAACTAATGGTCCGACGTCGTATAAAGTTAAATTTTTGTTTAACTTTTGTACGATATCGTGTGTTTTTTAAACCTCACTTTTTTTGAAAACATTGGTTTTTAAAAACAAGTTTAGTGGGAAGGGGACAATTTCGGGATATTTGGCGAGGAAGTTTATTTTTTTATAAGTGTTTCCTGCAATAATTACATTGTAATATATGATTGATACTGTTGATAGGAAATGACAGGTCTAAATGTCAAAACTGTCAAATTTCGGAACGAACTTTCGGATGTATGTGACAGGCTTTTTTTATTTCACAGGATAACTTCAAATTTCGGATGTCGTACCATCGGATTTCGGGTGCATGAGACTCCGGCTTAAAGAATCCAAGGACAAATAACACCCGAGAGCAAATTGTGACGATGCCATCAAACAGTGCCGTAGCACATATTTTTCTTAACCTAGCTGTTTGAGCAATATTTATATTTTTTGATAATTGTTTTGACTACGCCTATGGTGTATCATCCTGATATTTTAATTAATTAATTACGAAAAAAACGTATTAAAAATTGTTAACAAAAGGTACAAAACTAGATACAATCGACGTATAGCACATATCAAGTACATTATTAGATGGTTAATTTGAAATTGAAGAATAATAAAAAAAAAAAAAAAAAAAAAACGCTAAAAAGTTGGAGTGGACTGTTTATTTACCTATGAAACGTAACTCCTGGCTCTTTCTTATCGCTGCTGCTTTTACACTTGAAAGCTGAACAACTAATCACCATTGTACTAAAGTTTATACAAAGTTTACTACACACCAGAGAAATAGAAGGGATAGAGAATGAGCGTCAACATGCGCAGAAGGTCTAATCAAGTGGGGCGCCATATTCCAGGTCTTCGTGTCATTTTGTATATAGGTGGTAATCTATAAGTAATCAAATATCAATTTGCTGTTTTCAATCATACGGGGGGCAATTTACATTAGTGAATATCTAATCATTTTATGGTTAGTTAACATTAATATGATTTATTTAATTTTATCAGTTTCAAAACTGCGTACAATATTGGTATATAATACACTAAATATACAAATATTCTGACAAAAGACGCTACGGATAGATGACCTTTTCGTCGTTAAAACACTCGAAATGATATTAAAATAAGTATTTACAATATTTCATGTTTACTTGTACTGATTTACGCGTTTCAATTTAAAATTTTTGCAAATTGGGTAAAAATTGTTTAAACAACTTTTTTGTTCAATTTGCCTTATTCATAAAAAACATTTGGTTCATATTATTTTTTGATTGAATTACTACCTTGTATTTTTAATATAAACCCAGAAAAAATATGTTTTTTGTTATTTTTTTTATTTCGTCCCTTCAAATTGTGTTACAAAAACTGTTACATAACATGTCCTCTAACAATATTTTCAATTAATACATAAACATTCATTGTTCTTATTTAAGGGTATTATTATTGTATTTATCTGCGGTTTTAGTCGACAATAAAAACTCAAAATCTTGTAATAGAACATTCTTTGTCAAAATTAAGTTCATTAATATACTGATAAACAACACAAATTTTCCTAATATTATATATAAAAAAAAACCTGTTTACCGGGTAAGTTTAAAAAACATTATGGTTTGTCTTAATACTAGGAAAAAATCATTTATTTTTGCACAAAAGAAGCATGTCGATCCTTATTTGTCCATAACCAAATTCTGTATGTACAACATTACAATATAACCTAATTTATTATTAAGAAATTAGATTATATGATCTCAGAATTTTAAGAAAATTTTTTTTTCAAGATTAAAAATAGTTTCTTCTCAACTGTAATATTGTCATCTTTGGCCTGTATTTTTATCTATTTTAAAACATGGGATTGACAATCCCCTTACTAAAATAATACTGGAAGGTACCGATTAAGTTTCATTGCATCAAATACCTTGCTATAAATCCTGGCTCACAATTTAAGGCCATTGCAAAATGCTTTTGAACTTTCATCCATAGTTTTAACCACAGAATAAAAGTGTAATATTGAAAAAAAGTAACATTGTAAGCTTCATGACTAATAGTCCTCACTTTTTAACACTTTTTTTTTTTAAATATTCAATCTATTAACAATTACTCGAATACCTTATAGTTGATTATTTCTTCCAGTGATTGTGGCACTGATTCAAATTAATATATGCCCCATAACAGTTTTAAATAAAGAAACTTCTTTTGACATAATTATAAAAAAAATTTAATTTTCTTATTGGCCATAATACCCTTTCTTCCTATATAAAATCTTGCCATTTTTTTCAGTCCAATGTTTTCCTGTTTTTACAGTTGTGTGTAGGAATACTAAAAATGTTGACTATAGAACTCGATACTATGTTTGAAAAATCCTTCATACTGGTAACTGTGCATAAATCTAATTAACTGAATTCTCTTCCTCTTGACACTCTGAACACTGTTGCTGCTAATGTTTAGAAATATTTAGGCACAAAACTACAACTACCTACAACCAACTTTACAATAAAAAATGTTTAATTTTCGCTGTTCGATTAAAATACCCTATCTTATGATTTCTTTTCTCCAAATAATTTTTGTCAAGTAAGGACCAATCTTATTTGACATGTTTCTCGCGGCTCTCGCCTCTCGTGCTTTCATGGACACTATAAGAGTGGACTGTTTTACAGAAGCACTAACATTGATTCCAAGTATCTTCTTCCTCCACACGTAATAAAAACATCCTCTTTAAATGGCCACATCATTCACTTATTTTTGACCATTTCCAATTACAATTCCGATTTTTACAAATCGCCTTTTACGGAAACTAAAAATAAAACAGTTTTGGGATCACTCATTGTAAACACGATTATGTTGTATAACTTACACATGAAAACTAATCATTTTTTCCAGCGTATTAGCTTTCTTAGAATGGACTACTGACCAATATTACAACAATCTTTGAATTAGTGTTTAGATTAATTGAGATAAATAATAAATTTATACTAGATAAGCAACACAAACGAAAAAAAAAACAAAACAAACAGATGTCAATTAAAGAGGGGAAGTGACAGCGAGACCTGGAAGATGTCTGCCATCTTGCCGTCGACAAAAATTTGGATGCGCACTCGTCGAAGCTCATTCTCCCACTTCCATATCTCTGCTACACACAAACTATTAAAAATCACTAAAATTGTCGCTAGTGACCAATGATGACTCATTGTTTGCCACCAAAACAAAAAAAAAGGTCACAAATTCTCCTGCAGCCCGTATAGGGGCGTTATATGTCCTTATATTCTTTAGTCATTGATTGGCAACCAATGACTAAAGAGTTTACACATTAGACGCCATTTTTTTGATGGCAACGAATGAGTTATCGGCGACAATTTTGGCGATTTTTTGGCCTACACAATTTTATTTAATACGTTTTTTCGTAATTACTTAAGTATGATACCACCAATAATACTACCGTAACACCATAGGCGTTGTCCAAACATTTATCAAAAAATATAAATAGCTTTTTTCGTTTTCCGTTATTACCGATTCTGACCCGTCCTAGAATTGTGATGCGTCTGCGCAGAAGGAAATATGAAGACATTATTTCATTTGCGCATGCGCTGGAGAGTTCTAGGCTATGGTTCTAGGACGATTCAGAATCGATAATAACAGGAAAACGAACAGACCTAATATCTCTTCAAACCTTTGAATAAGAAGACTAAGGAAGGAGCATATCAAAAATCTTAGGTACACCGCGATGGGCCTCAAATATGGCCGACTTAAATTCCGGTTTATCAGTGCCGTTCTAATTTTATTTAAAAAATGATAAAAACCTAATGATGTAGGGTAGGACCGTGGGTAGACTCAATTAATTTGTTATTTTTATTTTACGTTGTGAATAAATGTTGGTATTATTAAAAATTGTTATTAAATATATAATTCTAATAAAAATAGATAGTTACTCATAGTATTTATTAAACATTAAACATCCGATACGCTACTGAAAGCAGGTAAGTCAAATTAACGTATATAAATTCTTTGACATCTGATCTTTGACAAGTAGTAAAATTAACCTAAAATGCAAGGAAAAATATATAATTTTAGTTTAATTTTAAGTGAATTTCATAAATGATCGGTTTACTACACGTATGTTATATTATATAAGTCACTTTACTAGCGAAAAAGTGTTCCATTATTTGACTCAATTTTTGCCTGAGATCTACCGCACGCTACACAACAAACTATTTTAGAGTAACTTCTTCGATAAATCAGTCTGATAATGTCACTGGTGTTCCATTTAGAGTCTGCCTAACC